AGGTTTTTTGCAGCGTTTTCGCCTCTCAGTACAACATACTGCGCGAGGATGTACCAAGCCCGACATGTTTATGCACGCTTAACACCGTAGCCCCTGCCAAAACGGCAAAACACCCGAGGACCAAAAGGCATGGACGCTTGTGACAGATTTTCTTGTTCCACATCCTTGTGCAGCATGTTGTGCAAAAGGCGAAAACGCTGTAAATACCAGTGTTTTGGGCATGGACGTACTATGAATGACGTTCTTATCCCCCCCCCCCAGCAAAACCAAAGCAGCCACATGTAGAATCTTTGGCAGAAAAGAACGAATTCTACCCTCCACTCTTTCTTTGATTTCGTGCTGAAACCGCGCGTTTGAAGCCCTCAAGTGAGGAAAAGCATGGCGTCAATTATGGCACTGTCGGGTAGTAGTAGTAGTAGTAGTAGTAGTAGTAGTAGTAGTAGTAGTAGTAGTAGTAGTAGTAGTAGTAGTAGTAGTAGTAGTAGGAAGTAGTACTAGGAAGTAGCAGTAGTAGCAGTAGTAGCAGTAGTAGCAGAAGTAGTGGGAGCAGTGGTAGCAGTAGTAGCAGTGGTAGCAGTGGTAGCAGTGGTAGCAGTGGTAGCAGTGGTAGCAGTGGTAGCAGTGGTAGCAGTGGTAGCAGTCGTAGTCGTCGTAGTCGTCGTAGTAGTAATCGTCGTCGTCGTCGTAGTAGTAGTAGTAGTAGTAGTAGTAGGAGTAGCAGTAGCAATAGCAGTAGCAGTAGCTGTAGTGCGCGGAGGTGGTAGTTGATGGTGTGTTTTTGTGCATCACTATGGTCGAAAACCCTGGCGTCGCTTCCGCAACATGTACATGCTTTCTGAGGCGGGGGGCGGGGGGGTCAAATTTTGCGTACTGTCGAAAATGCAAAACACTGGCAGGCGTGCAGACTTTACACAAGCCTGAACTGCATGGATGCTCTGGCTGCTCTTCATCCGCTGCTTCGTCTTGTTGATGTTGTTGCTTCTGTTGTTGTGACTGTGATTGGTAGTGGTTGTGGTTTCGGTCGTTGTTTTGACTGTGGTGGTTGTGGTGATTGTGGTTGCGGCTGCTGATGGTAGTGGTGATGGTTGTTGTTGCAGTTGGAGAAGCTTAGAGTAGCAGGCAGCAACAGCAGCAACAACCGCAGCAACGGCACGGCAAAAACATGGCTAGGGCCCCCTCCCCCCCCCCCAACCATCAAACGCGAAGCCATCCAACTGAGCCAGCAAAGCAGCAAGGGCGTGTACTGACTTTCGTCAGTCAGCTCAAGGCTCGCTTTGGCTGCCACGAGGGCTTGTACAGCTTCTGTGTGACCTCCACCTGGGCATCCGACACATTCGGGAATCAAAACATGGTCAGGTGGGGGAGATCTAAGAATCCCGATGCAACTTCCAGCCCACAGCTGCTCATCAACCTTCATTTGCGCTATTCGCCGTCTGTGGGGACACCCATGTTAACTTGCGCGGCGAATGTTAATGCCAAGTCAGCGTGCTGGCTGCCAACCACAAAGGTGTCTCCACCCTTTCGTTGGCAAGATCTGCACAAGCACCGCGATCCATCAGCAGCTGCATAGCCTGCGTAAAATGGGAGCACAGTACTTCAGCCTTTTTGAGTGCGTGACACCGTGATCCAGCACGAATGGGGACAGTAGGTGTGAAAGCAAAAGCACCTAAGCTTCCAAGCTACTGCACCGAAGGGGATTCCTACAGTGTCAGGTGGTCGCGAACGCAGCTTACACCGTTAAAACAAGTTTCAACTGAGCTGATTCTCTGGCCGGTCCCCCCGAACTGACAGCACAAGGCATCTCGTCAGTCAGCATGCAGCAGACTATGCAACATCGCCCTCTTCCACATCTATCAGATTGGAGCGAGTTGTCACTCGAATTGGCCCTCTGCCCTACTCGCAGCCTCGGCTTACCAGGCATCCGGGTTTCATCCCTTACACTCACTGTCCTTAATCGGATTACAGTGCCCTAGTATAATCCCTACTAAGGACTGTTAGTATAACGGGGAACATCCCAATGTAAAGGTGTCTATGTTCCCTCCTGTACCCTTGGCTTCTCTGCAGAACTGCCGTCTCTCTCTCTCTCTCTCTCTCTCTGTCTCGCTCTCTCTCTCTCTCTCTCCCTCCCTCTCTCCCTCCCTCCCTGCTCTCTCACTCTCACTCACCAACTATATCTCCTTAGAACCTTAATAAACACTGCCATTTTTGCAATTCTCTTGGGGTTTATACAAATGACCAGAACAAAGAACTCCTGAGGGGGCTATAGCTGAGGAATAAAATAGGGCCTTAATGATTAGAATAGGGCTTTGGGGCCATTATAGTATAATTAAAGGGACCAAAAGGGAACACCCTCAACCCTAAACCCTGAACCCCTATATTATTCCCAGCAACTACGGTCGCACCCTAGTTTTTTGCTTTGGGTTAGGGTTTAGGGTTTAGGGTTCAGGGTTCAGGATTCAGGGTTCAGGGTTGAGGGTTGAGGGTTGAGGGTTGAGGGTTGAGGGTTGAGGGTTGAGGCTTTAATGCCCTGTCCGACCTGGACATGGCCATGTTGCGTCGCCCACAGCAGCGCGGTCATCCCCTTCTGGCAGGGAAGAAACCCTAAACCCTAAACCCTAAACCCTAAACCGCTGTCGGGTTTAGGTTTTTTTTGGGGCCACCCGCCTGGCTGACCTTTCGGCCACTCCGCAGGGAACTGTCTGGCTATGGTTCGCTGGAAATGTTCGGAGAAAAGTTTTAGGCTTTCGGGTTTAAGGGTTTAGGGCTACGCATGGTGCCCTTGTTGAATTCAACACACTCCCAGGACTTGTGCTCGCACTCGTTCAGAAAAGATTCTTTGCAGAACAGGGCTCGCATTGATGAACTTGGCCTCTTCTGTTCTGGGCCTTGACTCTTTAGACCTTACACTGAACTCTAATGCATGAAACAGACTGTCCGGCCAGATCCTCAGCCAGAAAACTGTTCCATTAACGCACTCTTTCACACATTCAACTCAACATAGATAGCTTCCAATAAACGCAAGGGCCCAGAAACCCA